AATTTTTAATTATACGTTCCGCGCTTGTCCTCGTTCTTCTCCGCTTCTTTTAAACTCTATCGTTCTAAATGTAGAAAATGCAAAAAGGTGCACCTAAATAGAACAGACTTGTGGTCGTAACGACATATGAATCGTGACATAAATTGTTCAGGCTTGCACGAGTCTGTACAGTTTCATCAATCACCCGCGTAAGCGCGCATTAATAATCGTCCGCTATTAAATATGCATTGGTTGTTTGCGAGCGAAGCGTCATTCCCTCTCTGCTCACCTCTCACTATCCCACTGTGCCCGATTTCTGCCTTTATATGCCAGCTGCCAGTCACTAATCGTTTACGTAAAATGCTCTGTTTTTGAATTTGGAGCACATGGCAACCATCGACCTTTCGCGCTGTACTACGTCATCAATTTATATCAGTACATGTGTAAGTGTACATATGTATATGCACACATGTAAATAAATAAATATATATATATATGTGTGTGTGTGTGTATACATGTATATAAATAACACGAAGCGCATATTTTTTCTAATGAAATAAAATAAAAACTATCTCCGGTTTCACGAAGAGTTTATATACCAGAATTTTCAATGACATTTACGATGATCGTGTTTATTTGTCATTCAAGTTGCGCCCGATACGCCTGAAATATTTATTCACGGCCGATATGATGACTTCTTAATCGTTCGGCCAGCAACGCGCGAAATTCAGCCCGATTATTTGCCAAATTTCTACTTCATATTGAGATATACGGTGGCGTACCAGAAGCGGAAACGCATTAAAAGCTCCATTACGCGAGCGCGCGAATGCCAGATATCCGCGAGCAAGATAAATCTTTTCTGGCCGAAACGGTAATGGAAAAACACTCGGTGGCATCGGCTGTCATTGTTATCCTTCCACCAGCGTTGGTGTTGCCAACGCGGTTGCATAGGTCGGGTTAGTAGATGCGCGAAGGAAAACAACAATCCGTACCCCGCCGCAAAGTACGCGCGTTTGTACGCTGCCCGTGGAAAATAGGTCAGTCGGAGTCGAATGACTTGGCGCGATCTCGCCTGTTTCCGCGGCGGGCTGTCCGATGCTCTTGCGACGAAAACACGACGATTCTCCGCTGGATGATAATCCACGACGTTTTCAATTCCGGAGAGTTGCCAAAGGATACTTCCGTCTACGAGAGCCGAGATATCGCCGGTCGATAAGTAGCGCACTTGGCGAAATCCTTGAGCCGGTATTTTCGACAATAGCCATTAATTACTCCCGCGGTGTAATTGCAAGCTCGTAGATTTTCCGCAATATTGACTGGCAGAATTTATGGTGTACTTCTCGTAATTGTGTGTTTCGAGATAGAGCATTAATTTGAACGTTAATACGAGTATTACGATAGTTAGAGAGAGAGACAGGGGTGACAGTATATAAACTTGTACACCTAATCTCGCGATATCGTTAATATATATATATTATATATATTTCGTTAATACACTTAATATATTAATACATTATATTAATACACTATATCGTTAATACACCTCGAATTTTAGAACTTTTATCATATGTGAAACTTCATAAAACACACGTTCGATAGTTATTTCTTTCTTTATCATTCGCGACTGTTTCGTCCGATTCTTCTCATACGGAGTAACCGTTATTGTCACCCTTAACAATATTCCCGCGATTTCGTTATGAATTTGCGTCGTTGCGAAATAATTCAACGGCGACGATCGCCGGAGGTTTAAGTAATGAGGCTATCTTGAAGATGACAGAAACTTCGATGAAGATGGCGCGCGTAATTGGGGTTCCGGATCGAGCTCGGTCCGGGTGACCGGGTGAAGCAAAAAGGGTGTTCTTCTCGCTCATAGGGAGAAGGGGCCTGCTTGTGCGCCACCGATCCAAGGGTGGGCGAGGGTGGCGACGATCCTAGCCGCGGTGGGCTGGCGAGGGTGGCGGCGTAGGAGGATTTGGAGCTCTGCCACGTCGGGAGCACCCTCCTGCTCGAGAGCTCTACTACGATCACCGATACCACACTACAGTACCTCCGCGGTTGGTACTCGTAGGGGTTTGGAGGAGGCCGGAGAGAAGCGCGGCCCTCTCGAGGAGGAAACAGGTGGAACGACCGAGGCTTCGCTTCGCCCCGGAAGAGCGTAAATATTGATAATCCCTGCGACTACATGTAACTACTCGTTTACCACCCTCGAATATAATCGCACCGCAAATTAAAACTGTTTCGGGATTGGCCGATTGCCGTTGATAGTCCGATACTTTTAGGAAAGTTGCCGAAAATTTAACGCGGGAGTATCCGGGAGAAAAAAAAGGAGAAACAACAGCAACGCCGTTAATACGTAAAAAGCTCGCGTCAAATAGGTATATCTCGTTAGATAAATCGAAAGTTAAACGCGAAATACCGCCGATAATATCGGTCTCAGCCAATGTCGAGTGTCGGTTCCCTACATTCCAGCAACGATGGGAGCTGAACGAACGTTTCAATTACAGTTCGCGATTATTCATGATCCTACATTCGTACGTATTGGAAGATAAATGTGATTGTGATTGCGTACGGGTAGACTACACTGCTCGGCCTCCCGGTAAAGACTTATCTTATGCCGTTTATTGTAACATTCAAAATAACAGGCTATGTACGGCGATAATCGTTATCGTTGGCTATAGTTTTCATTGAGACAGAATTACAGGGATAGTATAGTCACACACCCTTTTCATCGTCGAAATAGGGGAACCGCGATATTACGAAAAATCTTTCATCTTCACGCTGAAGCTCCCGCTGAAAACGTCCGAACGTCCGGAATAATCGAGTTGCAAAATACATACGCGCGCTCTTTACGTAATCAGTCGATGATTGCTGGCTCGGGACTCGCGGGAATTACGAGAGAAGAATAGCGATACAAATTCCCACGATCGTTTTGAATTCGCAGTGAGATCGGCGAGCTCGCCGTGCGCGCGATCATATGTTGTGTTCATATATTTAGCGGATGTCACGATCGATGCGACTAGACTGGCCGTAGTAAGATTTCAGTAGTAGAGCGACGTATCGCAATGGCCAGGGGAAAGAGTCCGGGTGTACGCAGCCGTCCGTAATACAACATGTCGAATGTTTCGTGCAAAGTGATCGATAGCGCTGGCTTGAAACCTTTGCCGGCTATATTTGCGGATTATTAATACGCGCCACTGGTGAATCGCGATCAGCGGATGAACGAGTGCAGCCGATTTCAAGCGTTCCACCGCTGTGCTACCGTTTGTCCTCGGTTTCCCAGTTATCTCGTCGTCGCGAATACACCCGCTTGATCGATGAAAGAGTCCCTCGCGTGTGTTCTTTAAATGGCTCCATTATTCACCGAAAAGGTTGAGAAAGGCTCGAAAAAAATCACTCTTCTTGCATAAAACTTCTTGTTTCGGGATATTACATTATACTTAATGCACGATCGCGCCGCTATATTTACTCCTTTATCGCCGAGCTGACATTAAGTTTGTGCGTGACGCAGGCGCGGATATTTTATAAAATACATGAGAAAGAGCACACGCGCCGCGTAGCTTCTCTTTTTAGCTCGTTATTTCCCGCGTTGTCGCAATTTCGCGTGCGATCGGTTCGCGCGCGCGTCAAAATCGCGCCGGTGTGAATTGCGATCGTTGATTTATCCGAATCGGCCAAACAGCCGTGACAATTATCACGTGGATACTCAATTAACCTTTGACGTATTGATCGAAGAATAGCGTACGCTGTATTACAGTCGTCGATGAAGAACTATCGACCGGGACGGCGCGAGTTACGCGTTGAGACGATCGATGCCGGCGCGGCGCGAAATATGTTACGCTTATTAAAACGCAAAGAGCTTCCTTATCGTCGCCTTGGAGGCACGAGGGATGGCGTCATTGTGATCATGGAAAGAGCTTGCGCGCGTGGTGGTGAGACATACGCCAGGGCATGCAACGTGGCTGCGTGTATCCGCTCATTTACATGCAATCACGAAGGTGCATCCAGACGGCGGAGAGAGCTACGCGCCGCTCTCATTGTGGCGCCCGTTATGTCAAAGGCTAAACCTATCTTGTTTGCACTTGATGCTAGGCAGCGGCTTGACGTCAGACACGATCGCGTAATAAAACTTCGTTATTCCCGTCGAGGTGGCATAATGAGTGACGCCTATCGCAATGAGAATGCCATTCGTCACCATTTGCCCCGCGTAATATTTTCCCAACGTCGAAACGGCAAGACTAATTTACGCGAGTCGCGAGTCTCGCGTAATCGATGTGATAAGAGCGAGGAGGGGGAGGGGAGGGGGTATATATTATTCCAACACATGATACAAGATACGAGAGTTCTCCAAAATGAAATATTGACAGGCAAGTCTTCTACGATGATACGGGTAATACTGTCGATAGAAATAACGTGAAGAATACTTGAAACGATATATATTTTAATTACATGTGATAATCATGGGGGGGGGGGTGAAATCGAGTAGCGATTAGTTGTTTCTTCAAAAGCGTCGATGATGTCATTGACGAAACTCTGCGTTTACGGCATGCCTTATCGACAATATCTCTGCTACAATTCAGGAGTAGGTGTACGTAAGGAATATCACGTTTTCTAACATACCTCTAATACTTAGCCTACTCCTAAACGAATGTTTACAACGCATGCAGAACCTCTCCACTGTTTCTTCGGAGCATTTAACACGTCTGCCGTGACTATTCAACACTTACGCGTTTCGAAGACCTCAAAGGAGAATCGGACGGGCGGTATTATCGAGAGTGACGGACTCGCGACAGCTTGCGAACGCAAGGTGGACGAGAACGATTCGTCGTTCCCGCGCAACGCTATTTTCTAATACCGCAAATACCCATGCGCGCGCCTCGCGTATTTCAAGACGAGCTATCAGCAACGCGGCGGGACGTCTCCTCCCGTCGATCAACGCGAATTGACTCCCTCGGGGGACGGGTTCCCCTGCAGATATCAGTTCTCGCGACTACGTGATTAGGGCGCAAACACGATTGACTTACGCGGCGTATGCGAAGGGCGTGCGATGCGTGATGGGTGGCAAGGCGATCGTAGCCGCGAGGATTGTGAGGCTCCAGGAGGCGATGCGGAAGGACCCCATGTTTGTCCCCCGGAGTTGTCCGCGCTTNCCCGCCCCGCCCTCCAACCCCCGTCTTACTTCCTCTTCGGGCTCCTCTCCGTGTGCTTTCCGACCCTCGCGAACCACCCTCGCTTCCCGACGCTTCTCGCCCGATCTTCGCCTCTCGTCCGTTGCCGTCACTATCACTCTCACGACGATCCCTTCGTTCTTCAGCGAACACTCGAGCGACGACGCGGACCGGCGTGGGTCCGTAATATCGCGGCACTCGCGATTAACTCGTGGCGACGAGATTACTTCCTTCACCACGAGCGTGTACCGTCCGCTTCGCGAGCTGCGCGACGCTCCCTCCGCCTTTGCACCACCGTCACTCGCGGCGAGATCACAACGGGGGTGTCTTGATTGGCCGTCTCGCGATGAACGGTGCGATACGCGGAGCAGCAGTCTCGCGACGGTGTCGTCAGCGAACACCCCGCGATCCTGTGCTCTCAGCTCTTGCTGCGAATCTTTCTGCTCCCGTTTCTCTCTCTCTCCCCCCCCCTCTCTCTCCTCCCTCCCTCTTTCTCTCACCCCGTTCTCACGCACGACACCGGAGTTCCGTTCGCAATTCCCGCTGTGTTTCGGGGTAGAAGCGGCACCGGGATGACGGGTGTTATACGGATCGGTCGGCGGAGGAGGGAGACAGCGGCGAGGTCCTCCTGGAGGTTGCGCGCGTCCTACAGAGTCGGAGTCTCCTGATCGCCGGCGGTGTCCTGCCACGGGCTCCGCTTCCGTAGGATTCTTCCTCTCGCGATGGACATTCTTCCGACTGCTCTCGCACTCTCTCTCTCTCGCTCTTCTCACGGGGACACTCGGTCAGCACCCGCGGTACACCGCTACGCGCTCGGGAGTGGCGGCTCTCGCGTCTAGCCCGGCCGTTTCAGCGCGCAGGCGCGCTATTCCTTCCTTCCTGCCTGCCTGCTTGCCTGCCTGCTTGCCTACCTGTCTGCCCACCCTCGCCCTTTCTCACTCTCATCCCCTCCTTTTCCGTCTTTCACCCACCCTAACCTGCCTGCTCGCCTCGAGCCGACGACTACCGTCGTGCCTGCGCTCGCTGTCACCCTGACTGCTTGATTGTTTCATGAACTTCGTAGTTTTCGTCACTCTGCCACTACCCACCCCCATCCCTCTCGTCGGCTCTCGTTGCTGCGTGCATGTCGACGCGCTGCGGAGGGAGATTACGGTTTAGTCGGCGGTTTTTTCTCAGGGCACGGCCTGCTCAGGGAGACGTCGTTAAAGGTTCGCGTGGTAATCACGACCTTGATGTTTCGCAGTCATGTCAGGAATGCGTTTCGGAACTCCGTATCGATGCAGGTAGAAGCGTGTCGGCCCGGGTCGAGATTTCAGTTCTACGTTAAGTCTATTTAATTCAACGTTAACTTCTCAGAGATCCTCCGTTATACTCCCTTTGACGTTATAAATGTGGAGCTATTCCCATCTTCTTCACTCGAAGACTTGATGTAGAATTTCGACTCGGACAGTTTACAGTCGGTAGACTCTAATTGAAATAATGGCTATTGTGACGCCTCTCGAGTGTAGTGGTATATTACAGAGATACCGCCGAGACTAAGACTTCAACTCTGATTGCCCGAGCGCCCGTTGTCACCTTGGCTGCCTGATTGTTTCGTGAACTTTGCGGTTTTCGTTCCTCTCCGCGTCTCTCCTTTTCACCGGGTCTCACTAATGTGTATGTATATTTAGGAGCGTATCGTATTTGCGATCGCCCCTCGCCCTCGGTGAATCGAGATTACGTTGCTGGAACGTAAACTCATTTGCGCGACAATCGAGACCGCGGACGATCTGTGGAGTGCAATTTGGAGTTTCGGCGAAGGATCGCGTAATTGATACGCGTTAATGGACACGTACACCTCGATTGAGATAATAGTCTTATTATTATGAAATCCCGCGTACAGGCGACGAACCGGGAGGGAAACTGTTGTTTCAAAACCGTCCAATCGGGGGATTTAATAATCACGCTCGCATGCTCTCTCTTTCTCTCTCTCTCGCGCGCACGATAACGCATATTATATTCCTGCGCGCTCAAACAATCGCTTTAGACTGAATCAGCCAGACGCCCGTCTCTTATCCTCTCCGATTAATCCACCCCATCCGCGCGAAACGACGACGATCATCGCGGTGTCTTCGCCGTGCCACCTTCGGTAACACCGTGGCCGATCCAGCCACTTGATTCCACAGTTTTCGTTCCGCCGTTAATTAAGTCCTCGTATTGACGCCGGCGGGAGAAACGCATTCTCCTTGCCGGCGTGCCGCATCGAGTGGTCGCGTTTTCATCCGCCGGCGTGTCCGCTCGCTTTTCCATTCCCACTTTCTCGCTCAATCGAGTTATTCATTCCGCTCACTCCCTCCTTCCCCCCCCCCCCCCCCCCCC